TGTGTGTGTCTTTGCGTCTGTGTCGTTTGTGTGTGTGTGTTTGTGTGTTTGTGTGTGGTTGTGTTTGTCTGCGTGTGTGTGTGTGTTTTTTTGTTCTATCTCGCTCTCTCTCTATCTTTGTTTGTGCGTGTGTGTGTGTGTGTGTGTCTGAGTGTGTCTCTGTGTCAGTGTTTCTTTAAGTGTCTGTCTGTGTGCGTGTGTTCGCGTGTTTCTGTGTCTCTGTCTGTGTCTGTGTGTGTCTGTGTTTGTATGTGTGTGTGTGCGCGTGTGTTTGTGTGTTTGTGTCTCTGATGTGTATGTGTGTGCGTGTCTCTGTGTGTGTGTCTGTGTGTGTGTATCTGCGTGGGTCTCTTTGTGTTTGTGTGTGTGTGTTTTGTCTTGTCGTTCAGTGCATACTCTGTGTTTTCATGTGTATTTGTGTGCATTTCTCATGGGCCTCAGGTGGTCGGCGTGATAGTGGCCCTGTCCTTGACGGCCTACTATGACGGCTGGGAGGGCATAAGGCGCGCGAGCGCGAGAGGGAGCAAGACGACTTCAGGCGGTGTCCCTGTATTCCGTTTTTTGTTGGTTTTCAGCTTGGGGCCCATGAGGGGAGTTTCCCTTGGTTCGGAGTGATGCTGCTGTAAGGGGAAATGTAAGTTGTCAGGGCTTTCGATCGTCCTGTGGTGTCTCTTGGTTTTCCTGAGTTTTCTGCGTGTCATTTGTTTCTAGAAGAGGAGTTGCCAGGGACTCTGATGAGGGAAACCTATTGGATAGTTTTAGACCCTTTATACCAGGGTAGAGTAAAAGTAGATGACTGGTTTGGGTCAGTGAAGGGGATGACTACATATTTGGAAATTGTGCCATCTACTTTCAACCAATTGTAATCGGCAATTTCGACAACCGTTGCAAGTGGGCTCACTCCAAATTCCGCATTCTCCTCAACCATCGTTCTTTTTGAAAACATGATGTTCCCCGTGTTTGGCGCTTGTGTTCGAAGCCAGTGGAAACTGGGGGGGGTTCGCCCTGGAAATACCCTCAAATCCTCACTCCTTGAGTTCCTGGATTTCATACTTTTTGGGAAGACCATCCAATTGTCTCGGCAAGTGAGTTTCGGGAATCCAAGGTTAGCAGACCTTGTTTTTTTCAAGAACCCGCGGTTTCCTCCCTCGGTGCAACCTTGTTTTGCCTGTGAATGGAGGGCATTTCAATCCGCCGTTTGCGCAAAGACCTCTTCGCGGGTTCTTTGTTGGTCCCCTTGAACCAGCAAAATGTCCCACCAGCGAACCTCCGTCAGGTTGCTTCGGTCCCACGCCAGGTAAGTGTCCAATATCCCCAGCAAACAACTCCAGAAGCTCGGCGAGAGTCGACTAGAGGCAGAAGTATGGGGTTTTGAGCCACTGCTTGGTGGCTCCTTGCCATCCCCTTAGCTATTTAGCCTTTTTGGTTGGGAGGGTTCCCCTACTAAGATTGACTACACAAAAAAGGGTACCCTTATTCTAGCCTCTCAAATCTGGAGGACCTAGTTGGGGATTGCGTTTTCAAGTCGTTGGGGATCGAGGCGCGCCTGGTCTCCGGAGAAGATCTTGCGGCCGCCTCGGGGTTTGTGTAGCAACACGGGTGGATGCTTTGGGGCGGTGTTTACGGGAAGCTAAAAGCCATGTGTGCGGGTCCAAGTCCCGATTTTCTGGTTTGAGGGTTCTCCTTTTCAGGCACGCCCCAAATTAGGTATGGTTGATGCGCCAAATATTGCAAGCAGGGAACAAGGGTATGAGACCCTAGATTATGGTTTAGTGAACCGTTGGTTATGGCTTAATTGTGCGACATCAGGCCCCAACGGGTCCCAAACGGCCATGGGTTCATATATGAACCAGCTAGGTGCCCTTTCTCACCCCCTTTTTGGTTGGAAGGCTTCCCCTACTAAAATAGACGTCCTGAGAAAAACATGGGCACCCTTATTCTAACCTCTCAAATCTGGAGGACCTAGTATGACCCACTCACAAGTCTCCCTAATTGGACCGGCTGGCTTGTCTCAAATCTGGACCTAGTTCGCCTTTGGAGTTTGGTGGCCATCCCGCGTTGACATTTTGCAGCGGCGCCCGAAAGGACACGGCGATCGAATTTTTCGGGTGGCTCGAGCGGCAGAGCCGCAGCGCAGGTTTGTTTGCGAACCCCCCAGAAACTTCTCGCGCCGAGATGTTCTCGTGCGAGACACATTCTTGCGAAAAAATGCAAGTGCCCGAGGAAAAAAAAGTCAGGCAGAAATCACCATGTAGTGCTGGTGCAGCAAAGTGTCCAACGAAATCAAACTCACTTCCGAATGTTGCATCCGGCATGTGGGAAACCCATCTTTGACGGCTTCCTTGACTGGCTGTCCTTCGTGACTTCGCATACAAACGTAGCAACAATCTGGCTTGCATCAGTAAGCACAAGTCCTGACGGCCTTTGAGATGCTCCCCTGTTTCAGCGGGAATTCCTTTAAGTGGCCTGAATCAGCCAAGAGCATGGGTCATCTTTCCGAATAGGCTATTTCAATGGCCCCTCTCTGGGCTTTGCTATGGGCGCTGCCTCTTGCGTCGCTGGCGGCACGCGTGGCGGTGGTCCAGTCTCTACTGGAGAGGCCCGCAGAGAGTTGCAAGCCCTGCAGGCTTCGCCGAAAAGTGGTGATGAAGGTTTTTTTTTTGATGGATACTCTCCCACCAATCCACCTGAAACCTGACAGGGGGTCCTGGAATCTTGCCTTTTAAAGGGCAGGGTACTACTTAGAGCCTGAATTGGACGGAGGGAGAGCTTGGACTCTGATCTGAATGCAGTCCCTTTCCGGTTTCCGGAAACTGTTACCATCCCAGAGGATGTCCCAAAACCGCCGTGGCGATTTCCCGTTCTGCGCGTAACTTCAAGTTGGGGATCCCGAAAGATGGGTAGTTTCCTTGCGGCTTCCGGGTAGGCACTGCTCCAAAAAAAGCTCAGGTGATATCCCCAACAGCATGCGGTGCTCTTTATAGAACCTCCTTGGTGGAACCCTGGTGGAACCCTCGTGGAACCCTCGTGGAACCTTACCTCAGGGCCGCTCCGGACCACCCCGGAGCCTATCTGGGCTGAGACCCCAAAGCTTTCAGCTGTTGGGGAAACATCCTTGAAGACAGCACCCCATTTGGAAGCTGATTTTCGTGCCGCTGGTTTGCCCTCTTCGGTTTTTTCGCACGACGAATTCCCAGGTTTTCACAGGACATTGGGATTCTGGGAAAGGCCGGCAAGCCATGGTCAGGTGACTCGCTCGTCTTCTTTTAGGATTCGGACCCCAAAATGGCGGGTGGTCCTGTTGGAAACGCCAACAAGTACGCTGCAAAATGGCCATGGGTCAAAACCCCGTATTTCCAGTGAACATCCCAATCCCCACTAAAATAGACTAAAATGGGTGGTGCACCGTGACCTATCCCAAAATAGTACCATCGGTTTTGAACCATGGCCAAATGGGTACCGTCTAATTAGACACACCCATTCTGAAAACAGAGAGCCACCCGCCCGGAGAAGGAGCCAACCGCCTCACGTCGTACCTCTTGTTTGTGTTATTTTATGTTTTTTTTTTTTTTTTTTCTCCGAGCGGGATGCCATACGGAAAACCGCCATCTTAGGGCCGGGGTCCCATTTGTTTGACATATATGCCTACACAAACGTGGAAAATCCACCAGTAGAGCTTGCAACTGGGCGACGCTGACGCTAGATTCCACCCTGTCTTACCGCAATGGCTGTGCAGCTTCGTGTTTGCACGCAAACGGGCAGGTGGTTGGGCGTAACCCCTGTTGTCTTGGCAAACATTCTACCAGCTTAGATGGTCCGAAGAATTGGGTAAGTGGCTTCAAGTCAAACCCGAGTTGACTCCGCACAACAAAAGGTTGATATGAGTATTGCTTGCCGGTAAAATATTTTCGGGTACTCATATGATAGGGGTTCGGTGTTGTCGGCTACAGCAGAATGGGTAAGGAGCCACACACATGCCACTGCGAGATCTTGCCTCTCCCAGCGGATCCCAGTATCTAGGTGTGTCTTTTCTGCGGAGCTCAAGCAAGACCGAAGCCACATGAGTGGATCCTGAAAACGCAAGACACCCAGGCGACCAGCCAGGTTCCCCTTTTTTCTCGGGTTAATCCCTTGGTGGCAACCACAAAAGTTGGAGAACTTCGCCTGGCCTCGTGTGCAGGCGAAACGCGCTTGGCTCTGAGGAGCCGCCGGAGATTGAAGGCGAGCGGCTGCGTTCCGGGGTGGGAGCTCATGCAACTGCCGCCACGATTTTATGTTTTCTACCCTCTAATGGGTGGATTGGATTGGTCGTTTGGAGGTGTGAAGGGGTCGTTCCCATGACATAGGGCCTCAAATCGCCAAACCAATCCAAACCACCAGTTAGGGCTAATTTGATTTTTCGGGGTAGGCTGAATGGACAGATTCTGATCCCAGATGGCCAAGATAAGTGTCTTGTATTTCAGGCTTTTGGAGTTCGTCCTTGAGTTTGCAGATGAATCAACTGGGACACACATCATATCCAGCCTCAGAATGAAAAGTCTACCGACTCTTCCCCTGTTTCCCAAGGCCCCAATTCTCGGCCTGAGGAAACGAGGTGGGACCTCAAATGATGTCACACTCTCGGACTCACAAAATGGGTGTGCCGCTTTTGGAGAAAACCCCCCAAACCCGTGGTTTCCCTTGGTGTGCAACTAAACAACCCAAAAAGGATTCAGTAGAAATCAGACACCCAAATGTAGATCATCATCCACCTGCCATTTTGGTTGTTGGCTGCACCAGCAATTCAAGTCGTGAGAGACCGCGAGACGTGAGACTTCGAGACAAAGACGGCATCGCCTGGAGGCCCATCATTCGGAACTCCCAAGCAAGCCCAGCATTCAACGTCGTCGGAGTTCGACGCCCAAACTCACGGTGAGTTGGTGAGTCGGTGATTCGGCGTTTGGCTTTTGGGGTTGGAGTCGGGTGGGGTTAAGGTTGGAAAGGGACAGTGGGGGGTAAGGAGAAAAGATGGGTTAGAAGGTGAAGGTGGATGGAACATGTGCTGAAGGCTGGCGAACTGCCTTTTGCTGCGACAAAAACCGAGGACCTTGACACCCAAATGAATCTGCCAGTGGTTCTTGGCCGGAACGCAAACCAGAAGTGCCCGACCCAGTGAGTATCACTGCAAGTGTAGTCACTTGTTCACATTGCCACTCTCGGCTGATTGTTTGACCTTTGCCCTTGTGGGGTTCCTTGACTTTTCATTTTTACCAGCAGCACAAACCTGTTGCACAGGATCCAAGTCTGGTAAGTTTTAAGGACGGCACCCTTTTTGAGCCTTTGAAAGGGTTGCCCCTTGTTGATCTACCGTTAGTCATGACCCTGAAGGGTATCCCTTTTTGTCTTTGCTTTGGGAAAGTCTGATGATATTCCACCCCTGTAGGCAAACACCTCTTGCCAATACGTGTTTTGAAGGGGTCACAGGATAGATTTGAAAAACAATGTCGGGGGCACCACTCATGTTGTGTTGTTTGTTTTCTCCCGACCCTTCAAACAGGGTGACTGGGCGGTTGTATGCTCCAAATCCTCTGATTGACATGGAACCCAAACCTTGGGTTTCGAAGTTCGGAGGGATAGGAATCAATTTGTCCATTCTGGTTGCCCTTATATCCAGGTATTTTCCTGATATACCCAAGATCAATTATGGGTATATATCAATGGCTAGGTATCCAGGTATTTTCCTTTTGGTTGTTCGTTTGGGTGGTTCCCTTGGTTACCTAGATCCACGGGGTACAGGGCTGCAGGGCTGTGCCCTGTTGAGACGTGGAAACCTCCCTGGAAGTAGCCCCTTTTGGGTGCCTGCCCCAAACCCATTTGCGGTTTCACCCCGGTCTCTGTTGCTGTTGAGAAAGAAGCATCCAAGCCAGAATTAATGGATTCTTAATGTCACCGAAATTTAGGTTTTCTACCCAGCAAATCCCAAGAGGACATCTAGAGAAAATCTGTCCTCACCCACCCTACCCAATTTGGCGACATGAAGACCCGGCCTCCAGTCCGTTTCGCTTTTCGCTTTTCGGCTCGCCGGCCTTCGCCTCGAGATGACCCGCCGCTGCCGGAGCAGTGGGAGAAGAAGATCCGAGTGCTGGAGCCCTTGGGTCAGGGCGGCTTCGGCCGTGCGCCTCGAAGTGGAGTTCACCGGTGCCGACATATGGGCCATGGGTCAAAATCAAATCCATGCCGCCAGTGAACATCAACCGCTCCAACCACTAAAATAAATAGGTCCTAAAATGGGTGCTGAATTCACCTATCCCAAAATGGTACCATTGGTTTTTGACCATAGTCATCTGGTATGCAAGCCCATCATTCAATGTCTAGGTCCCCCAGCAATTGGCGCCCTTTCTCACCCAATTTTTCGGGTTGGGAGGGCTCGGGACCCTACTCAAACAGACGACAGAAAAAAAGAAGAAGAGGGTGCCAACTTATTCTAGCCTCTCAAATCTGGAGGACCCAGTCTGGTATGGCTACCGCCCCTAGAAGAACCCGTAGGACGAACCCCACCCCTTCGACTTTGCAGGTCGACGGAAAAAACAATGTACAGCAGAGCTTTGGTGCGACTGAAGCCAAGGGATGTTAGGACTGAACCACTTTTTGCCGTTACGAATGCGGGGGCTTTCCGTATGAAAAACCACGAAAAGTGAGTCACTTTTAGCAGGGCTTCGCAGAACGCAACCGAGAAAAACAGGAAAAAAAGGCGCAAGATGTCTTGCTCAACAGTCCTTGGTATTGGTATCAATGGGAAATCTAGATTTCAGTGAGTACGTTCAGTTTGGAGTTGTTTAGTTTGTTTTGTTTTTCTCCGCAACGGCTTGCCCAAAAAAGCATTGGGTTGGGGCAGCTTTTTGGCAGGGTTCTGGAAGGGTCGGGGGTTCCAGGAAATTCGGCGAACATTTCCTGAACACCACGAAGTTGTTTGTCCATGTCCTTTTTGGGTCACCTTCCCGATTCGGACTTGTTTCTCCCCTCGTATAAGCTAAAGTAGTGAATCCCAAAGAGTTCAGCAAGAAGATCCACCTCGCTGTTTTGATGCAGCAGTACTTCCCTGGGTTGGTTTCAACATCCCAAATCGAGCTAATCGAATAGGATTCCTTTTGGGTGAATTGACATTCGCGTCCATGTCCTCTTTGAGAACCCCTGACAACCACAATGGGCAAGCAGTTGAACAGGAAAAAGTATGGACTTCGACACCGAACACGGTAGCTTTCATGTGGTTTGCCTTTAACCCAAGCTTCAAAAGTCTAACACACAGTCCCTTGTTTGTTTGGTGGGATCTGCAGCAAACATAGACCAACGTCACTACTGGGGACATCCACTGGAGCTTTGCCGAATGATGTCGTCTGTCTGTTTGTGATGCTCTGTTTGGCTCAAAGCCCACAGTAGGGTTGCTCCTTTCCTTGGTTTCCCTTTTCCAAGACTCACTCATTTGTCTACTCTTGCCTACAAGGTCACTAGCTCTCAGAAGGTACCCGCAAACCACCAGCCCCCCTGAGGGTAAGCAGGCCATGTGGGTAGTGAAAACCGTCCCACGGGAAGCAGCCCACGCCCCTTCTGTTTAGTGTTTGCGACTGTTCTGCACTTCTGCTTCCGTACCCAGTGCTTCCAGTTTCCATTGGAGTGGGTAAGCATTTTAACTCACCACCATTTAACGAGTTAACAAATCCAACTGGCCTACATTGGCAGCTAACCCTGGGTTTTTTGGGGAATCACATGGTATGTCTTCTTGAAGGAACCCGTTTGGGGGTTTCGAAGGGAAACCACACAAAAGGAACAGTTGACCGAATTTAGATGATGAAACTCCTTCGGGTATGGTGGTTTTAATAGCCCAACCATTGTGTTAATCGTGGTAACAGTGTGGGAACTGAACCCCGGGGCACGTGGTTGGGGCTCCAAATGGGTGTGTCCTTTTTGAGGCGGACCCAAACAAATGGTTCCGGCCAGCTTCCCTTGAAGGCTCAAAACCAGACCCACCCACCAAAAACTGGTTGCGGGGTTCAATCCATGTGGTATGTCTTTTTTGAGGTGCCCCTTTTGGGCTTGAAGTTGGACCCCACACATCTTTGGGGACCTCCAAACTGCCTGTTTTGTTTTTCCTTTTTTTTCTTTTTTCCCCCCGACTCGGTGGACTCGCTTTTTCGCTTCGGTCTCGCTTCGGACTCGGTCGAGTCGGCGGAGGTCTTCAAGGCCCAGGTGATCTGCGAGGAATCCGCTGCTAGCGCTTCCGCGCTGGTGGCCATGAAGGTGATGCACAACCAGCGCTCCTCCCACGAGGAGGCGGTTCCTTCGGGTTCCTTTGGGTGTCCTTCGCGGGTTCGTTCGCGGAGGGTTTTCTGGAGTTAGACACCGTAGGCAAGTTGGTTCGCGGGTCTGGCGCTGTTGCTGGAGTTAGACCATCCGAGTGTGGGGAATTACCCTGGCGAACATGGAAGTGCCAGAAAACACTGTAGGACGACTTTTCCTCTTGGAAAGGGGGTGGCAGTGGATATCAACATTTCATCCCGTAGGGTGTTGCATACGGTCGCGGTTTGGGCTAGTGCAGTTCCATAGCCTTGGGGTTAGTCAGGGTGTCCATGGAACCCAAGCTTTGCGCGGATCTGAGAACGTCCCAGGTTTGAGCCCCAGATGGGTCGGTCTTCTTTTAAGGGGACTTGCTTTGTTTCTGGTATATGTGTGGGGAGGCGGGGGGGAACCATGTTTGGGTGAGCCATGCTTGGTGAACCATGTTGGGTCGTTTTTGGGGGAACCATGTTGTTGGTTGGTTGTTGCGGGCTTCCCCAAAGGAAATCCCAATAAAAGACACCCAAATGGGGCATTGTAGTAGATGGCTTAGTTTCTACCTGGAGTCATAGGGGGTGTCTGGTAAGACCTATACACACCATGCTGATAGAACCGAAAGTCAGCGGGGTGTGGGACGCTCCCTGCCTCCCTCGGGTAACTTGCCATTTAAACTTGCTCAGCTGTGCATTTTGCACCTGAAACCTCTCGCAGAACTCCCAAAGCGGAGGCCCCGCTTGGGCTGCGGCCTTCATGCGAAGGAGCATTTGATTGCCAGTTTGTACGCATGTCGGATTGTTCCTCTTCAGGAATGGTTTTTTGTACGGCAAACTTGGTGTGCTTTCAGGATTGTTCTGGGGGCCCTTTTTCTTTGGTGCATTTTGCTTGGCTGTTAGGACTGAACAACTTTTTGCCAACTACTGAATTGTCCGTATTAAACCACTAAAAGTTAGTCCCTTTTAGCAGGGCTTCGCAGATTTCGCCACCGAGTTGTTTGTTTCTCCAAAGGGTCGCAACTGACTTCCGGCCAATGTCTCGATCCATCGGCTGAGGTAGAAGCCCTGCGGGATATGCGAGGCGCTAGCTGGTACTGCAACTTGGCCTTCGGTTTCGACGGCCTCGACCGGGGCTACCTTGGACAGCTTCGGACCGGTCGCCTTCTGATTGAAGCTCCCTTGTTTCCCAAGGGTTTTGAAGGGAAACGAAAAGGAACCCTTCCCAGTTTGAGGGGAGGGCATTGTGAGAAACCTGTGGCTATGCGCGTCTAGCTGTACTTTCCAGGCATCCTCAGTGGTTTCCCGAAGGAAGAAGACACATTTGCCCCCCTGTTGATGCGTCATCCGTCATGGTCCCTTTCAAATATTGCCGCCGCTTTGCGTTTGTCGGGGAGCCGCTTTGTGTTTACTGTGTCATTGTTTTGACCTCAGCTTGACAATAGCAGGCTACCTTGACATAGACAGAAGGTTCTTTCGGACAGGTTACATCTGCATTGGTGTTTCATATTGACCTCGTATTAAAAGTCCCCTCCCGATTAATCCCGTCCGGGTGACACCTCCCAATACTAAACAATTCATAACTCAGATATTACCCTCCAAATACAATATGTATCAACAAAAAAGCAAGAACAACAATTAAACCCGTCCCTCCCCCAGATGGCTGCTGCTATCTCATTTTCTCCACTGCTTCTTGAGCG